TACTTGTCAAGCTCATAATCGAGGGAAAAATCGGAGGTAGAAGAGGCCCTAGACGTCGAAGAATATCTTAGCTAAAGAATCTACGTCACTAGTATGGCGGAACCACGATAAGTCTATTCAGAAAAGCAGTCGATAAAGTACAGATAGCGCTGGTGATTGCCAACTTTCGTAGAGGATAAGGCACTTCAAGAAGCAGATTATAGCTGATCTCCAGAATAATTAGGACAAACGGCTCTCAAGTCGTTCAAGTAGAAGGGCTAGCTCTTCTCGGAGGCTAAAACACACCCGAAAAAAAATGGGACAAACGGCTCTGCCAAAGGGGGTATTATAAAATAACAGACACTTTGAACTAGTATGTCGTGATCATTGATCGATTCCTACATGCAAGGTGAAGGAGATCTCCACGATAGTAGAATAAGTTAGTTATTTTTCAAAACAGCATAAAATGTGACCGGGAAATCAAAACGAGTACTAGTGAAGCAACGGGTCATGAGTTAAAAACTGTTTTCGAATTGCACAGTAAGGCGATCAGTAATAGTGATATAGCTTTGCCAACATTTACGTTCATTCAAGTAGTTTTGTGTTTTGTAGAAGTGCTAGTTTCCTCGTGACTTTCGTGTTATTGTCTTGAATAAAATTTATTTTAGCTTGGGAAAGAAGTCTCGCCAATAAAACGGGGAAGAAAGAAATAGAATCAAATTCGATTTCAGCAAAAAATAGTATATTTATATTACCTATATACCTAGGGAAAAAGTTGAACATTTCGGGCGGACCATAGAGATTTGTCGAGGCGCAACCCAAGACTGGTAATGTGTCCGGGAATGTGGCTTCTTCTTCGAGGTAAAAATACTATGTAATTTGTCCGAAAATTGAAAATAGGTTAACAATGCGATAATATATTCTATAATGTATTGTAATTCTTGAAAATAAAATTGTTTTTGAAAGAAATTGCTCTTAATAATTATTTTAGTTCACGTAAAGAAATTATATTTTCTTTTTCGGATAAAGCCCAGACAAACACAAGTATACTTATAGATTGGGAGTCAGTTTAAAAAATAAAAACGACAGAAGAGAGTAGAAAGGCTATTTGATTTTTTTTTGTGCTCTTTAAAGAAATCCATTACTCCTAATTAGGATCAATCAGTAATAAATTGAGATTTATTATCCAATTACGTGTTTTAAAAATTCGCGAAATTTTATTGTAGTACTGTATCCTACAGCCTTTGTGAAAAAAATTGTTTTTTGGATTTTAGCTGATTAGGTCCTATTTATTAATATCTTGCAACCATTGAAATATTAACCGCGTTAGGAAGTGCTTCTTTAAAAAATGGTACATATCTGACTTACCTATCTAACAATTATTATTAAATTTAGTAAAAAAGTTTTTTCCGGGCTATAATGCCGTGGTCGAGTAATATTTCTACCTAGCGTTTCGTCTACTTCTGCGGTAGACATTTTCAGAGGTGGTCTGGTAGAGGACGAAGTGTTCTCTTCCGTGTTACTCCGATGACTGGATTCGACATTGTTGGACCTGCCTTATTTATATCCAGGGTTGTGGCCGTGGCTTGTATTACGCTATTTTCCTTGTCTCGTTCTCAAAAGGGAAGGGTCTTTGTTTTTCGGAGAACTAGCAACCAGCTTTTGTTAAGGTTCATGCCCTCTTCTTTTCTATTGAAGTTGTTGTGGTGTTTCTGTATCTCTATGGCTACTATAGACGCCAGCCGTTTCAAGATGCGCCCTAGGATCTTTGGCCGATCTTAGACTTTGTGAATTGTTCTTGTGGGCTTGTAGATGGGCTTAATGTTGTGTTTTTCTAGCATTCGTCCTATGCGATCTGTGACATTTTTGATGTAGGGAAGAAAGGCTCTCTCTGCCCAGGGCCTATTTTTGATTCAGTGGGGCCCCAAGGCCCAAGTAAAACTTCGGGCCCCCAATATCCTATAATGATGATACAGCGGAGGCTCGTGAGTTGCGGACATTGGGAGGAACGGGGGGAGGGGTGTTATGAGGCCCAAAAACATTTAAAAAATCTTTTATTTACAATAGCCGAGCTCGTTTTTGTCATCTTTTTCGTCGATTTGCTCCAAAATTTTGACAGGCACGTGACTGTATCAGACAGTTTCAATTTACAAATCACATGCATGTCAAAATTTCCGAGCAAATCGACGAAAAAGATGACAAAAACGAACTCGGCAAATGATACATGTAATGTTGACTTTTCTGACTTAAAAAAGTTTGAAGATGTCACTTTTTTGACTTTTACTTTCCACCCACGGGTCGAAAGTTTACTTTCCTCCAGTGGGCCGAAAGTAAATGGAATTGAAATAATTTATTGTATTTTTTTAGTTTTCATTACTGTCTAGATCGAGGCGCAGCCTAAAATCTCTCGACAGTAATGAAACTCTTTCCATCTCGGTATGTAATATACTATTGTATATACTTTTTTTTTTGTTAAGCTTCATGATAAAAAAATGTTTAGTTTTTATTTAATTTTCAAGTAATCAATAATTGACAGATGATTTTAATAATTCTAAAAAATTATAGGATATAACCGAAGTTATCGAATCGGTTGACAGATGCTTACTGAAAATTCCGGTTACTTGGGGAACGCAGACATGAAATAAAAAATAATTGACAGAATTTACGGATAAGACCAACAGAACCAACGTCCGATAGCCGGTAACTATTTTGACATTTCGTTAATCAGATTCCAGGGAACCAAAGCCCAAAAGTAACTACTTTTTCAGGGACCAGAGTAATTTGATTACTTTCGGACCGCGAAACCACAACCCACACAAAAGGACATACTGGAATACTGGACATACTGGAATATACGATATACGTTTTTTTTTTGTGTGTTTATTTTCGAATTGAAATGGTAAATTTTTTTTCAAGCCTTTTTCCGGCCCACTTTCCACCGGGCCCAACGCCCGGGCCTTTATCAGACAGTTTCAATTTACAAATCACATGCATGTCAAAATTTCCGAGCAAATCGACGAAAAAGATGACAAAAACGAACTCGGCAAATGATACATGTAATGTTGACTTTTCTGACTTAGAAAAGTTTGAAGATGTCACTTTTTTGACTTTTACTTTCCACCCACGGGTCGAAAGTTTACTTTCCTCCAGTGGGCCGAAAGTAAATTGAATTGAAATAATTTATTGTATTTTTTTAGTTTTCATTACTGTCTAGATCGAGGCGCAGCCTAAAATCTCTCGACAGTAATGAAACTCTTTCCATCTCGGTATGTAATATACTATTGTATATACTTTTTTTTTTGTTAAGCTTCATGATAAAAAAATGTTTAGTTTTTATTTAATTTTCAAGTAATTAATAATTGACAGATGATTTTAATAATTCTAAAAAATTAAGGCTATGGTCCGGATATAACCGAAGTTATCGAATCGGTTGACAGATGCTTACTGAAAATTCCGGTTACTTGGGGAACGCAGACATGAAATAAAAAATAATTGACAGAATTTACGGATAAGACCAACAGAACCAACGTCCGATAGCCGGTAACTATTTTGACATTTCGTTAATCAGATTCCAGGCAACCAAAGTCCAAAAGTAACTTTATCACAAACAAACCATGTCATTCGTTTCAACCAGACTCAAGCATTGAATAGGAGGCAACATTTTTACGCCAGGCTCCACAGAGAAGCCATGGAGATACAGAAACACCCCAAAAACGTCAACAGAAAAGAGGGCATGAACCTTAACAAAAGCTGGTTGCCAGTTCTCCGAAAAACAAAGACCCTTCTTTTCCGAGAACGAGACAAGGAAAATAGCGTAATACAAGTCACGCCCACACTGGATATAAATAACGCAGGTCCAACAACGTCAAATCAAGTCATCGAAGGAACACGGAAAAGAACACCTCGTCCTCTACCACAGCAGTAGACGAAACGTTAGGTAAAAATAATACTCGACCACGGCATTATAGCCCGGAAAAAACTTTTTTACTAGATCTGACCGGCCGTGAAAGTCTTCATTCTTTATTATCAAATTGTTATGACCTGTATTGAATAAAAGTGAGATGAAGACAGAGTCTCCATCTATTTTCTGATCGGCACACTAAAAATTGCAACCAACAACTGTATAAAACTAGTATCAAATTGGAGCAAATCGACTCGCAAAGGCATTCGCCACAATTGCGAGAATAGCTATTTTAGTTGCCAACCAGAAGTTAAGTCGGGTGGTACCGAAAAACATTGATTTTAATTAGGTAACGGTGTTTTTCTCAATCGGTCGGTTTAGTGTGCCGATCAGAAAATAGATGGAGACTCTGTCTTCATCTCACTTGTATCAAAGCCAGTTCCGGGACGGAACCAAAAATGGGTTGTGTTTTCTCTCTGCGGGACCTAACCGTGCTGATGAGCTGTGATACAGCGAAACGCGTCCACGGATGGTCCTGCAGAGAGAAAACACTTCTCAATCGGTCCTTAATTGGGCCGTTTCCCAATTAAAATCTGTATTGAATAGTTCAGTATAAGCTTCTGTTGCTGACACTTTTATCTAGCGTCTATACTACAATACTTGAGACGTAGAATTTTTGTTTCAACAACAAAACATGCCAAGCGATAGTGAAACAGTTACGACTACGTATTTTATTTGGTTGTCTGCTGGGGAGGTATTATTCTAATAAGTCACAACCCTATATGAAATGTTGATATTTCTGAAGAATGCCTGCAATGTTCTCAATTCTTCCAAAGGGTAATCCTGAAGTATCAACCTTAGGAGCATGGAATCCAGTCTTATTGAAAATCATACGTGAGAAGTACAAATTACGGAGCAGAATCGAACCTCGCTCACTTTCGTCAACACGATCACCAATAGGAAAGTAACCGTAAGATCACCAGCACCAACTTTACTGTTCATGTCTCACTGAACAGTAAATTCTTCGTACCTTGCCTCGTCACCTAAGCTGAGCAAATAAAAACATTCAATTTGAAAAAATATTATTCGGATGACGACCAAAACTTATTTATTCTTTCAGGCCCCTGTTAAAACAAATAAAAAACTCCGCAGAATCCCACATTGTACTTGATTGCTCTACACCAAGAATATACGAAGTCCTGAAACAAGCTCAACAAATTGGAATGATGAGCGATTATCACAGTTACCTTATAACTTCATTGGTAAGAATTTCATTATATTTACCCTATTCAATTTTGGGCATTTGATTAAATTAACCACTCGAGTTCAATTAAGAACTGCAACCCTAATCATTCCTCTAACTAAGTTTCGGAAACATTTTAAAGTCGGAACATGTTTCGGAGGGCTATCCTAGTTCAGTTGAACTTTGCCCTACGGGAACGTGAGTGGCAATTAGAAACTTGTGTAGTATCAAATCCCTTAATAAAATTAGGCATGAGTAACTTTTATGAAAGGTCGATATCAAGCTGAAGAGGACGTATTTAAATAATAAACCCTAAAACTATTATTGATAAAAATTTCTAAGACACGCAATATATTATATAGGTACTTTAAGTGAATAAGAAATAAAATAAAGAATTTCCTTCAGTTTCTTTTCTACAGCCTTCACGTTTAATATCCCTTCAAAAATCTTTGATGTTTTGACATTGATGTTTTCTCGCTTTTGCTCTCTCTGCAGGATTTGCATGGCGTCGACTTGGAAGAATTCAAATACGGAGGGACAAATATTACCGCCTTCCGTTTAGTGGACCCCGAGGGACCTGAAATTCGACGGGCCGTGCGAGACTGGAATTTTCCATCGGACGTCAAAAACAAAAAAGATATTATGCCTTCTGTTTATCGGGTACGATGTTTGTTTGTTTACTTTAGCTTTTGATGTAACATGTGCTGCTGTTATTTTGCTTTTAGGGATTCTACCTTATAATAACAAAGAAATAATAATAAATAATATGAATAGTCGTGTGATGAAAATAAAACCTTTTGAAAATATTTCTTTTTAAATAAAACCATTTTATATTTGGGATTTCATGTTGTTATATTTTGGAATTTCGAATAAAAGAATATTGAACTGAAACACTTTATTAAATTTTATCTCGAATCCGCTTTCGGTACAATAATGCAACAAACATTTTTCATAAAACGAAGGAAATAGATTATTAACACGAATTTACATACCTATAAAAGTTATATAGGTATCTGTTTATTGCTTTCCCTAAAAAAATCTCTTGGGGTTTGGGGAGAAAATGATATCTAATATAAGGATATGATTTTTTTGCTGAGGAACAGCGTCTATATTGCAAATACATATTGAAATTTTGCATTTTTTTATTTTATTTTATTCAATCCACGAATATAGGTTTATTGGTTTATGTTAAAAGATGAGATTGTATCAATCATAAGCGGCCTTTTTAATATTCCTTAGTGTATTTAGTATGCTTCTCCGAACTCTCGTTATTATAATATATTATTATTAACTAATGTTTCTTTTTTTTTTTTTTCATGTGCGAAAAAAAAAGGATAATGTAACTTTTGTTAAGGTAAGTTAAATTTTAATTTAATGACATCTTACTCAGAGTTTATTCGTCAGAACACTTATAGCTACCTATTTTTTGGTCGTTGCTATACAGGGTGTATCAGGTATGAGTCCAAATTTTTTAACATGAGATAATATGGCCCATTTCCCCATTTCCTGCTAAAACTATCCTATTAACCATGGGTCAATTGTTAGTATTTCCGGAGTTATCGCAACTTTAAATTTAGAAACATATTAAAAACGTGACAACATCGTACAGGTATTATCTCTGCCAGGATATAAACGTGAATAAAACTGGTAAATTTAAAGTTTTTTTTTTCGCAAGGAGCTGATTATGTATTCATATAAGAAACTTAACTTTTCAAAAACAATTTATTTAAAATTTAAAAGTCTAAAAATGTTGTTAAGTGACATACGAATTACAGTTGGAACTAATTACTAGGCCTAAAAATAATAGAACGATGTATTAAGCTTGCATCGACTTAAATAATAAAATAATTTCAACGTTAACAATTCTTATCCCTATTTTCATAAAATAGCTAAAACTAAGGCGTAATTAGTGACAAGCTCGTAATAGCTCATAAAAAAGGTAAACAACTGTATTTAGTTATACAGGATTTGGAATACATAACTCCTCCCTGCTTGAGCTGTTGCAAATTGGGATTCTTGTACCTTCGATAGGCCAGATAATTCATTTTGCACAATTTGTTTGTGTTTTCGTTGTTTACATTTTCTGTAAAAATACATTATTAAAGTGGAAATAATTAAAATGATCAAACCTATGATTATATAAGTAGGTATAAATATTATTGGTTAAAACTTATTTTTATGGATAACGACCAGAGTTAATAAACCTATTAACTGACCGATTCCCAATTATTCAGAACCATATTATTGGTTAAGTAAGCTAGTGTAGAGGCTGAACTTGTAGTCTATCAGCTTCTTGTTATTCTTCGTGGTCAATTTCTTTGACTTCTAAGGTAGTAGTAGTATTTTCTGGTAATTCCGGAATATTAGTTTTTTTTTTTTTTAATTTTTGAACATTTCTGTGCGAAATTAAAACTGGAAAATCCACAGGTTGCTGATCGAATTGTAATCGATGGAAGATTTTAAAATGAAATTGATTGCTGATCTACTTCAAAACTCCACTCAGCTGGCCAGCTCATTCAGGAAGCTTAGGTCCAATACGTGGGAGTGCAACGAAAACGTCTTGATCTAACCGGTCGCGGCAAACGAAAAACCGCGGGTCTGTTTTTTCGAACCACACGAAGCGGGCGAAAGGTTTTTAGCAATTGATCTACTTGCCGGCAGTGTAAGTACTTTGCCGGTATCCTTTTCCAGTGTTTAACACGCGCATTTTTAAAAGCCACATTTAGCAAAGCCGTATCGCATTCTTAGGCATAAAGCACGCGCAATTCAATTGGAATAAAAGAAAACAAAAATTGAGAAAAAAAAAAAAAAAAACGTATCAATTTCCATTCCCAAATAGGATTTGACATCCTAAATACCCAATTTAACCTACAACTATATACAGGGCGCGTAGACGAAACTGAACAATGGGTGGTTCATTATATTAACTTGACATTCTTCAAAATTAGTTAATGTTGGACTGGTGATTATCTCCATATGATTATCGCAATTGGTTACTATTGTCAAGCTTCGGGATCGCTAATAGCTGACCATTGGGAAGTTACCTAACTGTTGGTTTGTCATAATGTATTTTTGAGAAGGAACATTGTTGTTGTCCTGTAGTTATTAAATTGTAGATACACGAATCTTCTTGTTTTAGTTTTTCTTGATCGCATCGTGTACATGTTCTACTTGAGGGCATTCCATATACAAGGTGTGGTAAATGTCTGTCGTAAGTAGTAGGTAGGGATGCTTATTTCTAATGAAAAGGTCTTGGAGTGGTATAGGATATATTTTATATAATACGAATGGTTTGGGATAAATTATTGGTGTATAAATTATAAAGATAATTAATTCTTTTTGAATTCTCACCTGAGTAATCATTGTTTCGTAATATTTAATTATATTATCGAATAGAATTTGTTGTTTTTTCGGAATGTTGGCCAATATTTGATTTAACTCATTATGTTGTGCGTTTATTGTCAGTTGTATATGATCAATTGAGTCTTTGATTTTGGCACTTTCCATATTAATATTATTTAATATTAAATTCAAATCTATCATTGCATGTAGATTTTGGTTATCAATGGAAACGTTTTGTATCCTATTAATTATCATTTTTTGATTTGTCTCAATAGTTAAAAATTGATCATGAAACGTTTTCGTAATTTGCTTTACCACTTGGGATTGGCTTTTCAGATTTTACTCAAGTATTTGTTGATTTTCGTTGAAAGTTTAGATGTAAGAATCGTATCTTGCTCCATCTTCTGCGGTGCCATAGAGCCACTTTTGATCTGTTCCCATGAAATTTAAAAGTCCTCTTTTAGTTCTTTCCCTGTTAAGACCTTTAATAGTTTGTTTTATGATTTTCATGTGAGATTTACTTGTTTCAATATTTGTTTGAAACAAATTTGAAAATGACTAGACCATGTTGTATCATTAATTATTTTTAATAATTTAATTATTGTTGACTCCAATTTAGGTATACCTTGTAGAATAATTGTCATATTTATGTGGTAGTATGCCGCGTTATGTTGATTAGTTATATAGGTAGTTCCTAGGGAAATAGGAAGTACGGGATTTTTCAATGTTGTTATCATGTATGTTGCTTGGGCGGTTCTCATAAGGATGATCAAGAGAATGAGATTCATTCTGGCTAATCTGAAACATTTTACATTCTGTTTACTAAAACGTAGTTGTGTTTTATTGTCATCACGTGGGCTTATATTATCTCTGTTGAAGTGTCTAACGAAGATAGGTTCTTGTAGGTCTGGTTCTTCTTCTCGATTTATATTACGTCTTTCTAACGATTTGTTTTGACAATATTTTATATTGTATTTCATTATTAAATATTGCTAAAAATTCCGCTAGATTTGTAATATAATCTCTCATCAATTTATTGAATGATTGTTCGATCGGCATTGCGTAATTTAGGTCTCCTTTAATGATTTTAAAGGGTGTATATTCCGTTACGCTATACATGCTGTTGTTATAGTTTAATATAGCAATTATCATTAAATCAACTATATTTTTATGGGGATTCTGTAATTTTAGACTTGTTATACTTTCACTCAATGTCGAACGAAGTCTTTCTATAGGACTATTTGAATTTGGGTTTCTGGAAGTTACATAATTACAGTGTACATAAATCTATAATAATAGAGTTTTTAAACTCTTCAATTATCTGAGGTTATCTTTTTAGGGATTCCGTCACTAAAGTATTTTAATAATTGTGACGTAATTTCCACGGCAGTTTTTGTCGTAATCGGGTAAGCTTTGCTAAACTTTGAGAAACTCACAATGGTTTTTAGAAATTTTTGATTGTTTATAATATATGTATCCATATAAAGATGTTCAAAAGGTTTCGTTCCAATCGCTGTTGGTTTGAAAACTATCTTGTAGGGATGTCTTTCATACTTTGTTCTGTTACAAATTTCACATACCTTAACGACATCTTTTTCCATGTTTCGCCAATAATATCTTTTATTTAGAGCTGAAACGTTTTCATCAATTCCTCTGTGGGATGTTTTCGTTTCATGATTTTTTCTAATTGCTCATCTTTTTCTTTAATGTCTTCTACGAGTGAATTGGAAATATATAGTGTGAATGAATTTGCATTAAACCTTGCTTGCAATACTCTAGTATCATTGGTTCTAATGACTTGTGTAAGAAATGAAGACAATAGGTCTCATTTGGTGACATGTATTCTTTAACTAAATTAATTATTTTATCCTTAGTAGGGTTATTTGGTAAAAAAATACTAATCTTTTTTTGTTTAGAAATGGTTTCATTATTTCTTTCCGAATATTATTACTATTGGAGTATCGAAAGATTATGTGGTTAAGTAAATTGGCATGTTTCTTCGTGTAGGCACAGAGTTTTCTTGTGACGTGTGTATAGTTTGTTCTGCTTCTAAAGGTGCAGTAACTATTTGTTCATTCTCTGAATTCTCTTTTTGAATCTTTGGTGATTCTGCTTTTCGAATCTTTGATGATTCTCTGTTTTCTATTGGAATAACTTTCTTTGTTTTTGCTGGTATTATCATTTGTGAAATTATATTGATTTTTGATTTTGGTTTAGGTTCTGGTGTCTTTTGTATTGATTTCTTTTCTGCTTTTGGCATGTAAAGTTGAGTGTCAAGGGTGTATCCTTTAACATTTCTCCCAATTGTCTATGAAATTCATCATCTGAATTCGTTAATTTCGCATCGGGATTTGCCGAATGAATAGCATTGATTTGCATTGGAAGTCTTGATAAAGCGTCCGCGTTCATATTCAAGTTTCCTTTTTTGTATTTTATTTCATAGTCAAATTCTGATATGTTCAATATCCATCGTATCAGTTTTGAACTAGGATCCTTTTTATTAAATAACCATTGTAATAGTGTGTGATCGGATAGAATTATCAACTTCCTTCCAAAAATATAAGGTCTTAAATATTTGGTTGCCCAGACTATCGCTAACAGTTCTTTTTCTATAGTCGAATAGTTACATTCTGCTGGGTTCAATCTTCTACTCGCGTATGCGATGGGAACATCACTACCAATAGGTCCTTGCATAATTTGAAGAATCGGTTGTTAACCCTCGGGCAGGGGCGCATTTGAAAATCACATTAGCGGGCGCGCTGCGGCACTGCGTGCCGCCAGCAGAAAAATGTACGAAATAACTCAAAACATCAAAATTTATTTTTAAATAGAGTAAAAAAATAAAATAAATGTAATTCTTGGCAACTAAATGAAATCCTTTATACTAATTACGCAAAAACACAAAAAAAAATATTTGTACTATTCCCCTTGTAATTTTACTTATATGACTAGGCGCGCTGGCGGCACGGAATGCCGAAAACTCAACAACTGCAAGTTCAAGAACTCACTGAC